GGCGTGCCTTGTCACCCACTGACACCAGGTTTGCAAGGGCATGCTTGTAATCCCAGCACTGGGGAAGCTGAGACAGGAGGATCACTATGAGTCCGAGCTTGTAACAAGACCCTGTACCCAATAAATAAATATTTTTTAAAAATAAATGAATAAATAAAAGATGTACAGGAACTTCATGCTTAGTAGTAAAAGACTGAATGTTTTCTTATCAGAAACAAGGAAAAGCAAGTATGCTAGCCATTGCAATAGGCAAGGAAAAAGAAATGAAAGGCATCCAGGTGAAAGCCAAGTGTAGTAGTCTTCATTTATAATTAAAGTCAAGTGTAACAGTCTTCCTTCATAATTAAAGTCAAGTGTAGCAGTCTTCATTTATAATTACCGTTTCAGGCTACACACAATAACCATTGAGGTCTATTAAAAAGTTAGTAGAACTCAAAAGCTTATCAATATTATATTGTTCTGTTAGTATGGAAAATAAATTCCTAGCATATCCAGTCAAATACAAATTGGAATTTGAAAATAAAATAATACAATTTAAATAACATAAACAGTATGAAATGAAATGGGGCTATATTTGATTAAAAAATCGAAATTAATACACAGAATGTTGATAGAAAAATTTAAAAGCCTAATAAGCAAGAGATATATCATATTCATGGATCAAGGGAAGCATTGTATTACAATTCCAATTTTATACAAATTAATATTCATATTCAATGAAACGCAAACGAAAACCTAGGAAGATTTTTAAAGCAACTGACAGGAGTACTTTAGAATTTATATGGAACTGAAAAGAAAAAATTTGTAAAAGAGTTTTGCTATTGTGCATAAAGCTATAGTAATTAGCCAGTATGCTTCATTATCAGTGAGAGAAATGACCAGAATAAAAAGTCTAGAAGTAGCTCCAAATAAAAGGACTCAATGTAAAATCAAGAAATGCTATATGAGCAATTAAATCAAAATATGCAAAATAATTTAACTTTAATTGACACCATATTTCAAATTAACTAAAATATAGGTCCTTCACTTGAGTGTAAAACACCAAATTATGTAACATCAAAAATAAAACACAAGAAAATATTTGAGATCTCGGGTATAGATTCATAGATGTAACACCCAGAGTTTAATGTTTTTTTGTTTTTTGTTTTTTGTTTTTTTTAACTGGGGATTGAACTCAGGCCCTTGAGTTCAGGCCCTTGCCAGGGAAGTGCTTGTTCTATTGAGCCATCTTCCCGACCCCCCTTTTTAACTTTATTTATTTATTTTCTGTATTTTAGGGAAAGGTCTACAGGGTGTTCAGGGTCTCACTACTAGATCAGACTTGTAATGATTCTCCTGCTTACAGCCTTCCAAGAGCTGGGATTACAGACATGTGCTACCACGCCCAGTCTCAATTGCCATCTGAGAGTACCCTGGGGGCAGAGCCAGCATGGCAGGTTTTTTTAAAGTTCATTGACAGGGTTACTAAGAGTAGGCTTTTTGTTTGTTTTTTTTGTTTTGTTTTGTGGTACCAGGGATTGAACTCAGGACCTTATGCTTGCCAGGTAAGTGCTTATTCTACTGAGCTATCTCCCCAAAGTTTAATTTTCAAATGAAAACAAATTGATAAATTAACTTTCATCAAAGTTCAGAACTTCTACCCTTGAAACCCATCTTTTTAAATTGATTGATTAATTGATTAGCTGATTTGGTATAGAGTCTCGCTATGCAGCTTGGACTCATAGTGATCCTCTTATCTCAGCCTCCTCTGCACTGAGATTACAGACATACGCCCTCATGCCTGGTTTTGGTGGCTGGTACAGCGAGGGGCTGACATGGCATGTGGTACTGGGGTTTGAATCCAGGTCCTTGTGCTTGCCAGGCAGGTACTTAGACCACTGAGCTATCTCCCCTGCCCCAAAACCAATTTTTAAGAAAAAGAAAATATAATCCACAAACTGAAATGATGTATTCTCAAGTTATATAGCTGATAAAGAAATTGTTTCTAAACTGCACATAAATATTCTTCAAAGTTCAATAAGAACAAGTGACCAATAAAAAGAACGAACAAAAGGTTAAGACAGATACTTCACCAAATAAGATGACAAATAAGCATAAGAGTCAGTTAGTAAAAAATTTAAGTCAAAATAAAAATTATGACCTATTAGAGTGTCAAAACTTTTAAAATATTGCTATCAACTATTTGCAAAGATATAAAAGATAGAACTTCTGTGCACTGTTGGAAGAATTTAAAATAGTACAAATACTTCAGAAAGAAGCTGATAGTCCTAAAAGTTGCAAAGCAGGAATTATAATAATGTTGGCCCCACTAATAGAAAAAGAGACCCAACACTGATACACAAAAATTGATAAATGCCAAAATTATATTGCGTGAAAGAGGCCAGAATCCCAAAAGAGCATCACATGCATTACTAAGGTTATAGAAAATGTAAAAGTATAGTGATGAAAATCGAGAACAGCATTGGTCTAGAGATGGAGAAAGGCAAAGGACACTGAAGGGACAAATGACAACGTAATCATCACTACACATATGGGAATGGGTCAGAGTGTATGGAAAAATCAGTGTAAATTCTAAGGATGTGAAGTTTTTGTGCCGGTTATACCTCAACAATGTGCTGCAACAAAAGTAAGAACAGTGAAAATAGGAAAAGGAGGTACAAGTAAAAAGTAAAGGTGGAGCACAGGTCATCGGTGGTTGTAGACCCTCAGCAGGGCCGCTGGTATCAGCCTCTTTCAATGGCGACTAACTCTTCCCTTTACTCTCATGTTCGCTTTTTAATTTCCTTCTGCCCAGCAAATCAATCCTCTCATTCATTCTTCAGTGCTTCACCTTACTGCCCACATGCACGATTCCATTTTAAATTATGGCTTTTAAATGCTTATCAGTCAACATTCTTGTAAAATCTATCCATGCCATCAGGCTGTAAGAGAACCCTCTTTTTGCTTTAGAATTTCACCTAACATTTTGTGCATGGCCCATATTGTTTGCATAACTCAGAGTTATCATTACCAGCATTAGTTTTATTACTACAACAATACTGGCATCTCCTGACTGCCCTATATATTTTATCCCTCTCCACATTGACTTAGATTTTTTTTTTTTTTGGTACCAGGGATTGAACTCAGGACCCTGCCCTTGCCAGGCAAGCGCTTATTCTACTGAGCTATCTCACCAGCCCAACTTAGATTTCTAAGTTTTGAAAATTCAGTTTTTTAAGACATTTCTTTTCTCTTGCCTCCTTGTCAAACAAATGGTCAACTCTCACTTCTGCTGTTTTCATGTGTCTAAGAAATAGTCACAACTTCTTTCTTTGTAATTTCCTATCTTTATTCTGTTTTAATTCATAACAATTATAGCCAACTCAGTAAGAACAGTGTGTAATTTGGAACAAGTACAAAACTTGAATGAGCAACATAGAAGCTTATTTTCTGTATAACATACATAGAATTTGTGCTGTCAGTTTTTACATTTACTTTTTTCCAAGATAAATGATGCTTATCTGATGTTACTATGCCTAATTCCTAAAATAAAATGTAGGGCTAAGCCAGGCATGGTAGCACGCACCTATAATCCTAGCACTTGTTAGGCTGAGGCAGGAGGATAGATGCAAGTTCAATGCCAGCCTAGAAGACATAGTAAGTTCAAGGTCAGCTACCTTGCATAGCAAGACCTTGTTTAAAAATTCAAAATAATAATAAGAAAGAAAGAAATAAAATGTAGAACCAAAATTTATTAGGTCCCTAGGAGAAGACACGGTCAATTTTTCATAGAATAATTTGCCAAGTTTGTCTTTTTCAAGAACTACATGCAGTGTTCCTTTCTATTTATGCAGCTGTTTCTAATCTGTTATTTTATAACTAGTATAGAAAGAATATGTCTAATGAACAATAGAATATCTAAATGGAAGCTGTTAAAATAACATGTTAAAATAAATTTAACTACAACAATACTAATTTCTATAATCTTTCCTAGTTCAGTGCTTGAATAACATAGCTGATAATAATGTTACTTAGGTGCTTCCAATGTCTTTTAAGAATATTATATATAGAATGACATGAGATTTATACCTCGACAGGAAGCATTTGGAATTTTCTAGTCCTTCTTGTACCTGAAATACTTTTCTCATTTACAATTTACATAAGATCCTATTTGATGTATGGCTTGGTATGCATGAATTATGTAATGATTGCTGGGGAGAAACCCTATTAAAGTGCATACCTAGACAGTCAAGTTAAATGATCCTGTCCCCATTCTATTATCTTTGTGTCACCTCTATTAATCTAAGCCTCCACAAATACATCCTTGATTAGGAGATGATTGCGGCTCTGAGGTTGTCATCTAGAATTTGTGTTTTGCCATGGCATTCTGAGATGCATTTGAAAAGGGGGCAGTACTCCTCAGTTCTACAGCTAGGGGTCAGAGGAAATACTCCAGCTCTCTGCTGTCCCCTTGGCCAGGATGAAATGTATTTACAGATAAAACCTGGGCTTGTCTTCAGTCCCCGTTTTTCTTGGCTTCTGCAGCACCCAGAGCACAATCTGTGACCTTTCTGGTGCAGCATGTGAAGCCCGGGATAGAACTGCAGTCCCTGCACTTGCCTAAGCTTATCTATGTAGGTGCTTTAGTCAGCTGAGCTGTCTCACCGGCCTTCAATTTGTGATCTTAAAGCTCAGTGCATTCTCCTCACTGACACCCATTCTCCCTTGTAGTCCAGAAAGCCATGCTTTAATAGTTTCTCCTCTTCTGCTGGGGAACCTGTCGCTTTGTCGGTCCCTCCTACTTTCTCTCCCTGTGTCTACACCTTGCAGTCCCTGAGAATTCTGCCTTCTAGACCTTGCTGTCATCTCCCAAGCATCAGTCACTAAGCGTGTGCCCACACATTTGGAATTCTAAACAGGTAGCCCAGAAAGTCAACTCCAAGTTCCTTCTGCATTCCAGACATCTCTTTGCTCCATTATTCCGTGGCTTTAAACCATTGACATTTCTTTTCCCTCCAAAGGCAACGAGTCCTCCGGGGTTGTTAAAGGAAGAAGCCAAAGGCTCTCTTCAAAAGAGCTTCCGGATCCTTAATGCGGCCAAGAAGTTAGCAAATGACGTAAAGGGTGAGTGTGGCTAATTCTTTATTACATTCAGATTAATTGCACAGTGATTGGCAAGATATGCTGTCACAGTACTAATGAATAGAATTGTTTCAGCATGACTTTTATGATTATTTTATAATGTGGATGTAACATGAGTAATCTTTCTCATAAGTCTTGAAATATTTCATCTCAATGTCTTACCTTACACTGAGTAGCAGTTCAAACTTTAAAACTAATTTCTATAGGATGACTTTACTTATCTCTAATGCAAAGTAACTTCTTCTGTGATTATTTTTCCTTTAAAAATTGTACATTTTTCATGTATTGTATTCCTAACTAAAAAAGTGCAAAAAAATATCTATTGTAGGTTTTTTCTTAAGAATTTGTCATAAATATTCTGCTCTCTGTATTGCTGTTGTTTTAAGCATTGCTTGTTTCTCATTGGAATTGCCTCCTATTTCTCTCTGTAGTTGCAACCAGTGCTCTTTTCCACCTAAATGGCAATGGTCCTTTGAAAAGAAGCTGCCTTGCCTAAGTCCAAGTTTCCATGATGTTATTTCTCCTCCTTGGAGTGCTCCACCCCAACCCCTCTTCATCTAATTTTCTCTGGACCTCAGCTTTCACTCTCATGTCCTGCTCTGCAGGAAGCTGAGCCCACTGTGTTACCTGCCTGCCTCCTCCCTGGACATGGCCTTCCTTCCCCCAGGGCCTTGTCAGGCCACTGGGTTATGAACTTTATTCCATCTTCTTTATGAAAGACATGGGGTCTATAGTTACCTTCAGGTTTCTACTGTAAATCTCACAGATTAGGTCAGATTGGAAAAAAGCTAGTACATATTCAGCAAATGACTGATTTGGATTTTATTTATCCCAAAAAAGGAAGCTGCTTAAAACTGCTTTGTTTTCGCCATGCTGTAAACTATTTGAGTGTGGTCTCCTGCAGTGGCCAATGTGGAATGAGGAAGTCTGTCTCTAGGAAGGCAGCGCTTTGAAAGTAAAAGGCTTGGACTGTGTACTACAGGTGGCACAAGCCACCTGCTCCCATGATTCTGTGCAGCTCTTCTTACATTTGGAAATGGGACCCTGAGCAGCCTAACTGTGCTTTCTTCTTAGACAGTTGGAGCCAACCCATTGCTTTGTGGTCGCTTCTCCCTACCCAACACCCCTGCCCAGGGGCAGGTGAGGAGGATGATTTATGAAAATACAGGGACAGATCAACACTTTACTATTTCCATCCTCATAAATGTTTTTCTGCATCAATTTTGACTTATTAAAATAGTACATCATCAATTACTTCCAGTGCTCAGCAGTGGGGGAGGCTAAGAAAGGCAGATCACAAGTTCAAACCCTGACTGGGCACTTAGTAACTTGGTGAAAGCCTGGTTGTAAATCTTAAAAACTTAAAAAGGGTCAGGAATGTAGGTTAGCATGGAAGCCCTGGGGTTTATCCCCACTACTAAAACTAAAAAAGGGCAATAAACTATTTCTATGTTGGCCATTGAGATTTTGACTGCACTTTTAAATTTCACATGAGTTGCAGGCCATGTGTACTGCACCCTTCCCTAGTCCTGCCTCTGCCTCTGTTTCCCTGCAAACACTGGTGCTATTGAAATTAAGGGGGAAAAATCCATTTTTAGCATTTGAAAAAGAAATCTCAGGCCAGAGGTGGTAGAAAGAGTTAGGAGAGAGAAATGTTCATTACTTCCAATGTCTTTTCTTGTACTTCAGGTAGTCCATTATTTAAAGTAATGAAAATCCAGAAACTACTCAAATAATAATTCCTCCAGAAAACCAAGCCAAGACTATGACGGAGATGAGAATGTTTTCTTGCTACATTATGACATTCTCCTGATTTGTGGCCAATTACACAGGTTATAAAACAGCTGTTAATCAGAGAAATGCCATATATTACCACCAGGAACTGCTGAAATAGGCCCTGCAGAGCAAAACTCTTGACAGCAGCTATTAAAATAGAGATTTAGTCATTTCTCTCTCTATGGTGCCTGGAGTTAGAAGGAATAAAAATGGCGGGGTGAGTGTACCCTCCATATTTCTAATTTGTTGCTTGGTTCAGCTGAGTACAATTCAGTTAACTCCTCCGCCTCGGTCACAATGACTTACAGCTGCTCCCTGCCATTTTTATGCTGTCCTTGCCTTGAGGGACTCTGAACTTGCCAGGAGCAATTTGTTTTGCTTTTTAATTTTTGAATATACATCTGTTAAAAGTAAATTTGCCCTTGTGTGCATTTGAGCTTTGAAGCCAGTCTGTCTCGGACTGATTGAATGTCTGTAGAGACAGAAATCATTTCATTGATGGATACGAAGCTGGGAACAGACTGATGACTGAAAGAGTTAGCAGGTGAATTAATGCCACCAGGTGAGTTAATGTTGCTTTACAGGTGACCAAGTTCTGCCAATAGGATGATTGAGGTTCTCGCAGACTATGTGCAGGGAGAGGAAGGAAGTACTGTCCTAAATGACACATTAGAAACCTGAGACTGCGAAGACCTCAGTTTCCGTATGATTGCTCTTGAATTCTATTTGGTTCCTGCTTTAGCCTTACTCTTTCTCTTTACTCAAGACAAATGGATTTCTGTGCTACTTAGGAAAAATGAATAAATAATAGATCTATAAAATGAACAACTTCAATTGGTATTTAGATGAAAGAAAATACCCGTGTCCAGGCCAAAGAATAAATGACTCAGTGACTGATCGACATATGGTGGTGTTTCACCCAGAGAGCAGAAGCAAACATTACTCAACATTGACCAAACTGGCCAGCAATTTTGCTTCTATACTACAGTTTTCCACACACTAACTTACTCTAAATAAGTGGATCACAGAGATTCTGAGATCATGGCTATAATTCACTTACCATTGCTAGCCATCTGAGATTTTATGTTGGTATTTTATACTAAAAGAAAATAATAAAGTATACTGCAGCACTATTATATCAAAGCATGATGTAAGAGTAACATTTTAATTATACATTTTAATCCTTATATTGTAAAGAATGTATTTTTTTGGACTCGGTATGCTGTAATTACCTGCATTGGCCTTACCATAGGTGGACACCTGAAAAACAAACACATATCCCTCTGACAAGGAGCAGTTTAGATGAAGATAGATGGTGGAGGCCTCAGGAAAGGAGGGAAGGGGTGCTAATCTGGTGACATGTTCTCCAGACACTTTACAAATCAGGATGGGGGAGCTCTCTCTGAAGTCAATGAAATGAGAAATACTCCAATGTGGAAAATCGTTGACTCCTGACTGTGGGTCTATAGCTTGATTTGCTTTGGCCAGCAAGAAACTTGAATTTGAATACCTTAAATAAGGCAAGTGCTTTCTGATTTAGCACAAGCCCTACTTTCCCTTACATCTTTTATTAGACTCTTGTAGGCATTTGCAATGATCTCTGGTCTATGCAAATTTATTTCCAAATCCCAAGGAACTCCAAATTCTGATTCTGTACACACAACATTCCATTTTATTCTTCAGAGCTCTATCTGTCTCTTGCTAAAATGATACAGGAGAACATCGTGCATGCTTGGCTCCAGCCTTCTGCTCACACAGTCAGCTAAGCACCACTCTTAGGGAATGTCTTTCCAATTTCCTTGTCTCACTACATTTGCCACTGACTTGGCACTTTTTGTTTTCTAGCTGACCCTAGTGTGTATCCTAGGTTGGTTTGCTCAATTTCAATTTGTTCCCATGGCAACAAAGAAACCACATTTTTTATCATTTACAATGATAAAAGATAAGAAAGTATGGTGGGCCAAGGGTCCAGAACCTGACTTCATCTATCTATCTGTCTGGGAACAGACTGATGACTGAAAGAGTTAGCAGGTGAATTAATGCCACCAGGTGACAGTGATAGGTAGCAGGTATTAAAGGCCTATTGAGCACAACAATGCCCTTAGCAAACAAGATCTGCTAGAATGCTGTCTACTTTACCAATGATGCTAAGTGACTCTGAAATATACAAAGACTGACACATTTTGGGGAGGGAGTCAAGACGTCATAAGAAACACAAATAAAACCTTTAGGGTAAGTGATTTCATCGTGAAAAATAACCAAGCTAAGAATATGAAGAGAAATTCATTTGGTATTTTCTACTTGCTTCAAGCAGAAAACTGCTACAGAAAAGCTTAAGAAGCAAAAGTGCATATTTAATCTTCTTGTGGGCTTTTGAAGAAAACTTGCCATTGACTTCCTTGATGTATATGACATTGGATGGGTGCTTTATCAAATATAAATTTTGAAGTTTCCATTTATTCAAGAATTACAAAAGCATATGCTGTATATAGTCATAAAATCACCTGACACATGTCTACTTTATATGTAAAGTATAATTTTTAAAATGAATAGACTAGGGGCCGGGGAGACGGCTCAGTGGAATAAGTGCTTCCCTGGCAAGTGCAAGGGCCTGAGTTCAATCCCCAGTTCTGAAAAAAATAAAATAAAATAAAATGAATAGACTAATGTATTTTTATATGTTAGCTTGGTGAGACAGAGCTTAATGAATATTAACACTAGAAAGACAACCTCAATTGACAAAGATCAGTGTGGTTAACATGGTCTTCTCCCAGCTAAATTTATCTTCTAGAAAGCTAAATGAATAAAAATTTTTGAATCTTAAAGGTATATTAATTAATTAATTGACAAAAATAGTGTTTTCCTCTATAGGCTCCCTTTGGAGGAAGATCAGAATATTGAACATGCCATATTAGCTTTCCCAGCCCACATTACAATTTGTAATTTTAAATCATTGATAGCCATATTTTAAAAACTCTAAGAAGCAAGAATTAAAATGATACACCCAAAGTACTTGAGTCATAGTACCCCACTTGACTTGAGCATAGATTAGCTACTATCTAGATAATGATGACTTAACCAGTAAAAAGAGGACCAGGGTGTTGCCCAGTGGTAGAGCATTTTCCTAGCATGTGCAGAAGCCCTGGGTTTGATCCACAGCACCAAGACAAAGAAATAAAACAACAAGAAAAATATTAATCAATGAGGAATAGAATTTTGCACTGCTTTAACCAGAGTGGACGATAATGGAAAGAGAGGATGCATAGTAGACATATAAGGAAACTAAATTCCTACCAATCACAATATCAAGGAATCATCTACATTTTTAAAGTATCAATAAAAATGTAAACATTTTAGTTATGTAAGGAAGATATAGTCCAGCAGGAACAGATACAGAAGTTCAAAGGAAACTCCTGTTCACAAAGGTAGGCTTCAGCGGCTGAAACAGCAGGTTACCACTTTTATTGGAAGTCTGTCACTACTTAGTTTTGAAAGGTTATTCATTGTTTTTCAAGCATTACTTACTACAAAAAGTAAAAACAAACTTCTCTTGTGGTTAGAAAGTCACCTTAGCTCCAATGCTGCAATTACCGGATAGCAACTGAGGAGACAAATCTAGATTTTCATGAAAAGAATTCCCTAAATTCTGCACCCAATAGGAAGATAGGAATGCTAAATAATTTGTACAAGATACTGTATTTTTTTTTTACTCACAATATCCCTATGTCACATTCAGCAGTTTGTTGCTACCTTTTTTTTTTAGTATGAGAAAAGTATGATTCAGAGAAGTTAAGCAAGCGGCTCCCCATCACCAGCAGGTATGCAGTGGCTTCCCATGTTTGCACAAGGTTGTCTGGCTTCAAAGCTGATGTATTTAACCACTGCTCTCTGAAGCCCTAGATTGCCTATTCCGCAGAAGGTGGCATGTTAACATCCATGCTCCTAGCAAATGCGGGATAAAAGAACTAGTGGGTGAATGCTTAAGTGTACCAGGAATCATTACCAAGAAATCAGGGTCTCCCCATGACTTCCTTACACACCTCTGACCTGTCCCAAGCCCTTTCTTTCAGAACACAAGATAGCCACAGCGGAGACCAACCCTGTTCAGACAGAATCTGCAGAACAGAAGATGGAGCATGACCCTGTGAAATAGAAGTTATAGGGGCTGACCAATTTTTCTATGGGGAAACCCTGCCAAGAGGATATCTCTCATATATTTTAGAAAAGAAGGAAAACAGAAGTGAGAATGAGTTTGTGCAAGCAGGCCCTCGTGAAAGTGCAAGTCTTCACTGCCAATATCACCTGCTGACCAATTTAGCACAGACTCCATCTAACCATGTCCCTTCCACGTGAATGGCAGTTCTGCCCATTTTATCCTTAGGACTCGCAGTTCTGTTCAGGAACATTTATACCCCTTTAATATGAATAAAACATAATTGAATTTGAGAAACTTCTTCACTAGATGGAGTGTGAACATTTCCATTAAAACCCATCTGGCATTCAGCTGAAAAGTAGAATATATATGCATGTATGTGTGTGTATAAATAAATATGTTTGTATATCAATATATGCATATAAATGTATTTATACATGCATATATTGATATATATACATGTGTATATAATACATACATGTCTAGATATAAATGTGTATACTTACATTTATACACATATATGTGTATACTATATGCACTTAGGGTGTATAAAAGAGACATAAACATAGATTCTAGACCAAGCAGTTTAAAGTAAGAAGAAAAGCAATTTACATAACATTAGAAAGAGGTAAAACACTGCAGGGCACTACCAAACCAATGTGAATGTGTAGCCTTTTACTAACTGCCTGTGGCAAATCCAGTACTTTCCCATACGCTCTCCAACTTGTTTCTTGTGTTAATCATATGGAAGATGTTATTTTCACTTAACTCAGATAAAGAAGGATAGAGATGACATTTAAAGCTCCATTTTCCAATTTTAAGTCCTATAATCTTTCTTTGCAACACACTACTTTTTAATGACTAGCATTTTTAGGGAAGAAATAATTAATGGTCAAATAACTACTGTGTAGCATTTTTTGAACTCTTAAGGGCACAGTTCACGGTCATGGTTTTCATTACTGAACTGCTGTTCATAGCTAGAAGCAGGCCAGGATTACGGCAAACATATGCAGATGTTTATGATTAGTGGAAGTGACTTCCAACTCTGTCTCTGCTTTTCGTTCTGGATGTCACTATTTTACACACCCAACAAAGGGAAATTTGACTGTCAAACATGCACGGAGCCTGCCTTTGCTTCTGTACTTCATCCGCTCTCTCACTTTGAGCCCTGTCATTTTCCAAGCTCATTCTTTGACTTTAGTCTCTTACCATAGGAGGGCAAAATGAGAAGAAATGCGATCAGTTCCAAAGATGTATCTATCTGCAACCTCTGAGTGGTACCTTCAACAAGAAGACTGAATGATGGGAGCAATTTCCTTTTCAGCAAAAAAAGGAGGAGGAG